TCGTAGTTGCTATGAGAAAACTTCCTTCTGGTAGATAATTTTTCTTTGTTTCACGGACCCTATGGGAGGGGTTTCGCATTTCTTCCTGAGAGAAATTTGCGACATTGGGGAAATGTTTCACGGTCGTTGACTTTTCGCGTTTCCTGTTTCACATGTGTTTTCCTCTCCACCCCTCGCTCAACAGCTTGATCGTACCAGTGGAGGCAACTAGGGGGGGGGTCGTATCAAGCGACCTCTTGAGAGGGCGCACGGACTCGACCAAAGTCCCCAACTAATCATGTGAATTTTAGATTCGAGAAAATAAATTGCAATCTGAGGAATGAAGGCAAACCTGAAGTTTTATTACATCACTATGGAGAGTGCGTTCAGACCAACCTTGCAACAACGGAATCCAGTCAGAACGGTCTGTTGATTAGCCCATAGAATTCGTTAACAACTTTACCTGATTTTTCCGCGTTCTTTTCAATGATGGCTCATATCAAACAATGTTGCAGATCTGTCAGAACGTATTGAAGGAAGTGGTTCAGAAACGGGAAAAGATTTTCTTATTGAAAACGCTTCATCAACTGAGGGAGGTACGTGCTGAAGAGGTAAAAAGGCTGAGAAAGGCTAATTTGCTTGGTTACGTAACACGTTCAGATGTGAATTCGATTCCGATTCAATCAACTGAAAAACCTCCGACCACGTCCGGTTCAAACAATGACGACTTGAATTCGCAACAAAATCATCTGCAAAAGTCTGTGAAAGCACGTGCTGTACCGTCGATATTTGTGGACGATATCGACTCATCCGAAAAGGCAGCGCTTGGCTTGAAGAAGGACGAATTAAGTACTGCTACTGATTCGAAAAATGCAGCAGTAGAAGCAAGTCGACCTTTGATCAGAACTTTGAATGGCCATGGAAGCAGTTCTGCTGACCTACACTCGAAGATGTTAGTTTCTACTCATCTGCAATTCAAATGTTATTTAATTGCCTTGAAAGGTGATAAGTCTCTTAAGAGTCATGTCTGGCGAAGTCCTATCAGTTGAAGAACTACTGGGTGAATCATTACCGCCCGCAACGCCATCGAAAACGATTTCAGTTTCTGCCATTTTACAGGTAAGTGGAATGCCGCCGTTGTAATCTTCGATCCGACCGCTTAAAATCGCAACTGTTGAAGTTCCGTATCGAAACTCTCGCCAACCGCCGCCGATCATTGTATTAGCGCGCTGACAACAGAGAACTGGACTTATCAAGCAAAAGTGAAGTTCTCTTAGAAAAATGGGGATCATTCTCGGCGTCTCTGAAGCATACCCGCAAGTAAATCACAGAAACGTTGGATAGGAAACGTTGAAAGCATAAGGCACGATAATTCAGAATAGTAGCAGGGGTGCTAATTAGTGGAAAATGACAAAGAAGCGAAGTTATTCGGTCAGAAATCTGCGATAGAAACCTTTGTTTTGCACGACACTGGAGGTGCATTTTTGGACGAGTTTCACTGTCATCCTGCTAGCAACCGCTTTAATAGTTACGGCTGTACGTACGTATTCATATATCCATGCAGCAATTTAATAGATGAAACATAGGAATACCAGCGTCAATGTGAATGTGCTCCCATATGTGGGCGGGCTGTTGTGATGGGCGTGTGGGTTGGCACGTTGCTGCTTGGTTAGGCGCTTTAACGGTGTCCTTGATTGGAAAACGCGCCACGCAGCACCTGCTAACAAGCACAATACGTCTTTTCTGCTAGGCGTATGCACCCCGTACGCCTTGTCGATTTATCGTGCCACTAGCCTTTAGGGATGAAAACTTACCAGTTTT